AAATTTACCCCCAAAAGTTGAGCATGCTACAAGACGAGTAAGGGTAATTGTGGATTCGTAATGCTGTGAACATTGAACGTTCTCGAAGTACGGTTCTAATTTAATCTCAACCGTTGATTAATATTAGAAAAAAATTTAGTGAAAAAGAAATATTAAAACGAAATTAATTGAACATTTAGGGGCTTATTTGAGTTTTTTTTTTTTTTTTTAAACGTACAATACATTTTAGAATAGTAAATTGGTGGAGAATGTATTGTTGAAAAATAAAGAAAAATTTTGAATTTGCGTATAATATTATTTTATTGAGAAATACGCAATTGAAAGAAAGTGAGAATAAAAATGTATGTTTAAAAAAATAGGGATCAAACAAGGGCTAGTAATGAAATTGGTCCGGAACCTCTAGTTTCTTTATCGTTGATTTGATTTGAGATGGTTTATTTTGATCAAACAACATTCGAAAAGATATATGAAGATGAAAAACGCTAGGTGTGCAGAATTTGTTTTACAGATACGTATTTGGCAATTTTTCATTTGCCATTGTAAAAAACACAAAAAAAAACAGATTGAATCAACATAACATCTGGAAAAAATCTGTAAGGATTTCTTCTGTACATATGGTTTTGGCCTATGAAGATATAGGAGCGTGCATGCTTAAATTTTCAGTTGAAGGGAATTGATTGAATAATTGTCGTTTTCTCGATCAACCTGATATGTAGTGGAATGATACAGAAAACACGTGTGAGTTGTGTGAATTGCCATTTTCTTTCAATTAAACTTCTTTTAATGAAAGAAATTTTCTTTCAATTTGATTTGCCGTGGTCAAAGAACATTCGAAACAATATATGGAGATATGGGACTTGGGAGTGTGCATGTTTAAATTTTTAGTTGAAGGGACATTGTATATTTTTCATTTTCTCGATCTGACATGATAAGCGTACACTTGTGCATTTAATATGTCAACTGCCATTTTCTTTTACAATCATACTACATGTACATTATATTTTACATTATCTTTTACAGTGTGACACCACACTATTGGACAATTTAAAAATAAACAATTTTTTCATCAATCAAATTCTGGCAACTCCAGTGATGTCAAAGATGATGTACACTTTTGATGGACAAATGGCTTTTCTCTCACTTTTAATTAAACTTCTTTTATTGAAAAATACTTACAACTTTAAAATTCCATATTAATAAATAGAAGATAATATGATTCAAGTTGATTTAGCGTGATCAAATGACACTAAAATGCGTGAGATTTATTTATTATTTTCTTTTTTTTTAACGTTTACTTGATTTTATTTGATTGGAGCTGGTTTATCACGAATGAGTGATAATGAAAAAATATGCTGGCATATTAAAACGTGTACGATTTGTTGGAATTAATTGAATTTAATTGAGTTAAATCATTAAATGTGAATGATGTTGGTCATTACAATTGATTTGGGTGAAATAGAAAAGTTTCTAATATATGGCCATAAGTTGATAAACCTATTTTAAGTGTCTTATATATAATTACGAATCTCATATCGAAAGTTTAAAGAACGAAAACTTGTTTATATAGTGGGATGTATGAACGAGTTATAATTTAATAAGTAACCTACAACTTGGTCAGCCAAAGGCTAGCGAACTAGCCACTTCACACCACTCGCGCTGCACCCCGGCCCGCGCACTTCACAAAGTTTGCATTGGGCACTTTGCACATCGATCGTCGTAAGGAGCTAGGGAGCCTTATAGTTTTTGGAAATTGACTCATGGTTCGATGACATAGCAACGAGAGGCTCGATAAGTTGGCATCCTAGGTGACACGCATGTAACATGCGATGTCACTTCTTCCTGCGTGGGTTCAGTTGGATGTACGCGCATCTGCATGGTTGGTGACTATTCAGAAATGGGTGAATATGTATTATGAATGGATACTGCACTTCATGGTTTAATTTGTGCCGTTGATCATGAAATTGTGTGATGCAATGACAAAGACGAATCAGATCAAGTGGTGCATCGGTTCATGAAATGTCAAACACACATTCAATGAGACACTTCAATATCTATAAATAGAGACTTCCAGATTTATTTTTCAGTACACCAAATCAATTAAAATATCATTGATTTCTAAATTCATTCTCTCTTCAAATTCTGTTTACAAAAATTCTTTCAAATATATTCGTGGTTATTCCGTACGAGTACGATCATTTTTTGGTTCGATCGACAATATTGATATTGTGCAGTATCGACTTTAGAAGGAGCGTTGTGCCTTGGGAGACAAACGT